TTTATATTTACATAAAGACATAGGAAGGAAAAAAAAGGAAGAGAGGGAGGACAGGAAAGGAGGAGTGGAAGGAAGACAGGATCACTCTTTTATAAGGACATGTCATACCCAAATATGAACATAAAAAATTCTCTCCTTTTGCGGAATCACCCTGTTCAATGCGGTACCAGCGAATTCCAGCAGATGGCACTCGTATTTTTGAAAATACAGTTTTGAAAAACATCAGGATTGCTTAAACTGTGCACCATTTCAGATCAGAAAGACTGAATAAAACCACAGAAGCAAACAGATTTCAAAATTTTCTATTGCCATGGAGAACTAATGCTTTTAAGGTACTCTAACGCACATTCATAGCCTGCAAGCAGCTCACAATTTTCACTCTCCAGTCTACCGGCTGGTAGAAAGTAAGCATTCACAATCATTACATGCCAATCAATAGCTTGATAATAGAGAGCTATAAGTGACTGTTGAGAGACCAACAAACTTTCCATGATGGACTATATTAGCATTATTTTCTTCTAGTTTGTATTCAATACTTTTATCTGTTGTTTTACATAGATAGTTTTGCAAAGATTATCACTACCAGTTTTTCGCCGAGGTAAGCAGCGATTCAGAAAGAGTAAGAAATGAGGAAAAAGTAATTCAACCAGGAAAGACAAGCTGAACAAAGGAATCTAGTTTCTTTAAAGAACTGATACTTTATACTTAACTCCTTGATTAATATATATGGGCTAAAGAACAATCCAAACCATATTTCAACACACATTTATACGCCAGGCAGACACTGTTCTAGTGCTAAGAGAAAGCATGTAAGACAATCTCCCAAATCTCATGGAAATTATTTTAGTCATAGTTAAAAGAAAAAAGAAAGACACCACAAATTATAGAAAGCATGAAGAGAAACTAAGGTGCATGGTGTGACTGTGTTGAATTTGCTATTTCAGGGAAAGAGCTTCTTTGAGCTGACTCTTGACTGACATTAAGCAGGCAGCTATGCACAGACCAGAAGGAGCACTCCAGGTGGGCGGAGCACAGCCTGTGAAATGCCGCTAACAGTACAGCAAATTAGGTGAATTCAGGGAGCAAAAAGAAGTCCCATTTGGCTGCAGAGAAATGTGCAAGAGAGAGAGTGATCTAATGTGAGTTCTGAGAGGTATACAAAGCCAGACGGATAGACGAATGAATGAAATAAGAGATAGGAAGAACAAAAGGGGAAAAGAAAGAAATGAGCAAGAGTGTTAAATTCAGCTTTAAGATTCTTTACACATTGTTGATCTTTCTGGAAGTTTTCTATTAGCCCATATCCCTGCTTTAGCAGATACTAAAGAAGGAATATAATTGTTATTTGACATTTTCAGAAACTGCCAAATGTCAGTTATATTTCTTGTATTTTACTCCTAGGGGATTGAATCCTTTTCTATATTGAGAGAGTTTCACTAAGTTGTCCAGGCAAGACTCAAACCTGGCAACCCTCTTGCCTCAGCCTCTCTCAGAGCAGGGATTACAGGCATACACCATCGCACTCAGCTCTGCTATCGTCTCAAATATCAATGACCATAAATGACTACTAGAAAAGAATACCTAGAACATGAATTTTCAATAACATTTGATTTGAATCTGTTTTGTACTGAGTTACCCCTTCTCCTGGAGTGTAGGAAGATATTTTTATTTAAATAATTGTTCACATTTGCTGATTCTGATTAATCAATGTTTTCTGGGACCAAAGATATGATTTAATGATTCCAATAATTTTCAAATTTCTCTTATCTTCTAATGCTGACTTATATAAATTCTATAACAAGCAAATTTTCGATGCAAAGTATTTTTAAGGTATGTTAGAACTGAAGTGCAAGCAATGAAATTGAAAGAGGCTCACTGCTCTGTGACCTTGCACAAACCAAATCATGCATCACCATCTCAGTTTTTCCTATAAAAGGTGAGATACATGCTTGATATCCTGCTACAATCTCCATGGAGTTTTTATTTTATCAGATAAAAACATTTGAAAAATAAAACCTTGGTATTTTACAAATTTTGACTGGCACTAGATGGTAGAGCTGACATTACACTAGTCCTGTGAATACCCCCGGGTCGTCCATATCCACTCAGGACTGCTTCTAACATCCACAGAAACTACTTCAACAATCACACTCCTTAATGGTGGTTTGATACTACAGTTACTTTCAGTAGTCACAAAGCTATATCCAGAAGTATTCATTAGTAACTGCATTTGCATCTATTAAACATAGATTAAGAGGGTGTTATTTTAACAAAATTTTATTTACCAAGTAATTAGAATTACAATGTATTACAAGTGTGAAAATAATTAACTTCGAATCATTTCAGTAGTGTAGCTCTTCTGATTGTAAGAAAAAAATAATTTTCTTCTCAGCAGGTCTAGTTTGAAACAGCTACTTATGTCAGTCATTATTATTAATTTCCCATTCTACTCTTTATTTTCCTAGACAATAAATTCTGGTGCTATTGATTTTATAAAGTCTATTTATTTATTTGTTTATTTTTGTCTTTTTGAGACAGGGTCTCGCTTTAGGCTGGCCTTGAGCTCACTTTGTAGCCTAGGCTGGTCTTGAACTTGCAGAGATCCTCCTGCTTCAGCTTCCTGAGTGCTGGGATTACAGGCGAGCGCCACCACGCCTCAGTATAAAGACCTTTTAAAGATAAATTGGCTATATACCAAGGACAGTTGTTTAAGTAAGCATTCAACTCTGATAGTTTTAGTCTTGATACTTTTCATAGCTAAGCTGGGACGGAACTTCACCATCAGTAGTGGCTTTCTGTGTTGCTTTTTCCTCCAGTAAAAGTAAGTTATATTCTTACAACACACAATACTCTGAACACTTGCCTCTATAACGATAAATAAAACGTTTCTGATTCTACCTTACACAGCAGGGGCAAGTTCTTACATCATGTCCTTCACATATTATTAGTTAACACTGTCTCAATGCTATCTTTTGTCATGCTCGTAAATGAATTGAAGACATAAAGCTTCTTCACTGCTATTCTGAGTTGACTACTAGACAAAAGAACATATTTAGCTACCTTGAAAATACAATGGTTAGCTAGCACAAATGCAACTAACTATACATTCCCATCTCAAGTATTTCAAAGGTAATTTCATCCTTCCTATTCCTTCCACACATGCACACATTATCTTAAGATAAAAGGGGCACAAAATTCAAGACTTAATCTCTGCTTCAGGCTAATGACAGAAATATTTTTCATTTTTAGTTCACATCCTGAAAGAAATTCCCTTGGCAGAAAATGTTCTGAACTAGACTCTAAGAGGCAAATGTATTTGGTTCACTTAAGCTTTCCAGGATGACAAAGGAGAGAAGACGGGTCAACAACAAGGAACTTCAGTTAAAACAGATCAGCTTCAAATGTTAAAATACTTTTTAATATATTGAACAACTTCAAGTTTCAAACTATATATATCTGAAAGACAGAACACCTTACCCTAGCACACCCAGGATTGAAATTGTCTCATATTTATTTCTAATCGTGTCACTGAACTGCTACTGTTTTCTGGACTGCAAAGAAATGATTTATTCATCATAGTGTGACACAGCTATGTATGATTGATTGGTATGAAATAGAAAGGGACTTTGTCTTCCGCGACACTTAGAACAGGGCCTGACCAGTGTACGCTATCTTCCTAGCAGCTGAGTTACTGATTGCCCATCTGGTAGGGTTCAATAGATTTTTCACAACATAATTCACAGCATAATTACCACTCTATAATATGTTATCAATGCCAACTGACTCTTTTCTAAACTCGAATTTATTATAACACAATGACTTCAAACTTATGTTAAACTTTCTGAATCTCACCACGGTTATTCAAGTTCTAAGAAAAAAATAGGCAGCAAGGAAGAGTTCTGTTCAATGTTTGTTTCTTTTATGGAAGAAAACAGTACTACTGACAAAACAATGCTACCATAGAAATCTTCCCAACATGCAGATCTTAAAGCTTCCCTTTTTCTTTGTCTTTTCCTCCCATTTCAGGAAGAAAGAAATTTTTAGTCCAGTGGTCATGTTCCACATCCTATAGTTTTGTTGCTGTTTTTCTCCTAGCCAAATAGCTCCATTAATCAGCAGGAAAAAAAAAAAAAACAAAAAAAAAAAAACAAGCAGCCAACTATCTATATAATCCAATATTATCCCCAGTGGAGAGCTGAAAATTAGAAAGTTGCTTCTGAAAGAACTTTAGTTTCATTAAAGAACTATGGTGGCATGCCAGGAGTCCCAGAGCAGTATCAGTATTATTTGGGGTTAAATTTCACTTTGGTTATAACTAAGTATGTGATAAATTCAAAGAATTTATTTAAAGAATGTGCATTCATTTAAAAATTGCCTAACTTCCAGAGTCATTAAATTCAGCCCAAAACATATTTTTATCCAGAAAATTGCAGCTGATGTTCCTAAGACTTTTATGACTTACAAATTCTTTTTTGTAAAAATCCTAAAAACAGACTTTATACACTGGTACTCTACATTGATAAAAGTTTGGCTTTATACACTCTGATTTTTATTTCTTGCTGTATTGCTTTTGCTTCAGAGAACTTGTTCCTTTGATTAGATTGATTCAAACAGTCTTAGTTATTTTGATTGGTACTACCTAGATTGTGTTTTGTATTACTCTACGATGAAGTGCTAAAGTAATCATTCATTTGATTATATGGAAATTAACTTAAATCTTGAAATATGCACTTACGGCATTTTGAAATAGCGAAAACACAGAACTCTTGGGTATTCTTTTCATATTAAATTCATATGAATCCTGATCATATTACTGAATATTCCACCTACATATTCTGTATGGCACACATGTGAAAAAACAGTAGTATCCATAATAGTTTACTCTGTATATATATTCCATTGTGTGTGAGTAGTACAGATAGGTGGTGATCTCTAGTTCACATTAATATTTTAGCTACAAAACCTATAATGAAAAAATCATTGACAAGTGAAAATGGCCTTATGTGCAAATTTATTCTGCATGTTAATGAGATACATACAATAATAAGTATTCAGATGACATAGAATGTGGGTAGACAAATAGACTCAAATAAGGGAGAACTAAAGAACAATCTCAACAACCATTTTCCACCCTATATTTGTGTAGAAAATTCACTGCAAGAATTATTTTTTTCTTCTTAGGCAAAAATAATTTATTATTCATTTAAGTACTTAAGAAATAAAAATAAGACTCATTTTGAAAATACAAATTTCTTCAACAGATGGCAATTGCTACACATCCCAAAGGAGAGTTTTAAGTTTGCTTAGTTTTTCAAAAATAAGGATGTAAAACAACATATTCATAACAAGCTGTGGCAAAAGTAGACGCTCTGAAACCAGAACTAAAAGTTCTACCTTAACATCAGTGGATCTAAGACAGCTGTGAACACTTCATATGTGACATTTAACTCATGAAATCCCAGCCACAAAATCAGGGTTCTAACATCAACACCTGATATTTTAAAATACATAGGTGTTGTTCCCTTCCTTTACCTAACCTAACAGAGGGTCTTATTGAACAGGTTTAGTACAATTAGGCGCTAGTGAAAATATACCTTTCTACCTCATGAGGAGTACTAACAGGTGGAAAAAGAAGTGATGTTAAAAATCTGGTGGCAATACTGTTTGATCTAACCACCCGTACAATTTTCAAGTGCAATTTTTCATGCCACTTGCAAAAATGAACCCTGATGCCCATAAGAATAGTACCTCCCCTTGTAGATAATTTGTTTTCACTCTGACCAATACAAGCATTAGGAAGAAAACTGTCAAGAACAAGTTGCTAGAAAACAGCTGCAGATGCCCTAGAATTTAAGTCCAAAGACACACAGAGAAAATGAAGAAAACTGGCTTTCACAGATGAAAGGCCTTAGAGGACCTCTGTTAACAAGTATCTTATGACTAGAGAAGGATTAAAATGAAGTAAGCACATTCACAGGTGAAAATAGTAACAAATAAATGAATCAATAATCTGAGCATTTCTTCCTAAGTGTGTTTGACTAAGCCTGAGGTAAGCTACAATAAGCTATGAAAAGCAGATAAGGAAGAATAGGTCAGCTGAAGAGTCAAGGGAATATACGCCTGGGAAAACAATATCTACTTCTCCTTTCTCTCCATTTAGGAAAAAAAAATTATACCTGACAAAACCTTTAAATTATAGTGAGCAGCAAGACAACAAATTATTATCATGTGTCAATAAACTAATTGTAGATATCAACAACTCTGAATATTCTGAACCTCATGTTTTCCACAAGAATCTGTTGCACTGGGTACCATTCATATGCCCATCACAATTTGACTCTAAGATGCTTTGATCAAGTCTCAGGTGGATCATTAATTTTTGAAAAGTTGATTTTCTGAAGATCTTTCTGTGCCAACGTCTGAAAAATAAACATATAATAAATATTCATAAGCAAAATGAAATATTTTTTGTGGTGCTAAGGCTAGAACCAAGGGCCTTCACATTCTAGGTAAACATGCTACACACTACCATTGAACTACATCTCTAGTGTAAATTAAATTCTTAATAAAGAAATTATATACAATGTATTGAAATTTAGCACAGCAATAATTCAGACATTTCTGAGTTATGTTTAAGGTTTTTACACAAAATATAATTCTAAAAATAACATAATTGGAAAGTTTTTTGAACAAGAAAATGTTTATAGAAAATAAATAAAATGTAATACATTAAACTAAAACTATATTTTAACATGCTTTAAATCTATGGATGTCTTGTATTAAAGTAGAGCATGGAAAATATTGTATTAATTTTATAAACAACCAAAGTAAGCAGTAAAGTAATTTAAAGTGCTCTCACACATTCTGAAAATCAATTTCTAAGGGTTGAATCTACAATTTCTAAGATCATAAAAATCTGTAACAAGAAAGTTTCAGCATCAAATATAATAAAAGTATAATTTATCTCTATCAAAAACCAAAAAGCTTTTAAGCATTATGATACTAAAACTCACTCAGTGCATAAATCCTCTAATAACAGAAGAGTTTTGGTTAAGCAAATGTTGTAAGGTCAGGTTTGAATTTTTTAGAACTTAGTTTGAAATTGTAAATATTCTCTTTGAATATAACTTGCTTTATGTAGCACCTAACTCTCCAGGAACTCAAAACATTTCATGGATTTATATCCTGAGTTTAGTTTTATTCATTGCTGCTTTTTGTTTTTCGCAGAGGAGCAAAGCATTCATTCAAGGATGGAATTTAGTAAGTCTGTCTTTACCAGAAGATAAAGTAATGCTAAACACAGTGAAACAATCAGTGATAGCTCACCATCTCCAAAAATTCTATTTCTGTTTGGAGAGTTTCATAAACACTTTTCAAGTCATCTTCTTTATAAAGTTCTAATTCCTTTTTAAGTCTGTTCCAAGAGAAAATTTCATACTATTAGTTAACAATTAACTTTTGTAATAATTTTTATTACACAGAGAGAGAGGCAGGTCTGTAGCTTCAAAAACCAGAATTTCAAGTTTAAACTAAAAATATTAGAATTTCAATTCTCTATTGTTCCATAAGGATTACATGAAAATTTGAGGGGGAAAATCCCATTAAGAAAATAAATTAAGACAATAAATACCATATATTTAATAATTTTGAGGTAATTCCAGTTTAATGGAAGATATAGTTCTTTCTCTAAAGACTTCTGATTTTGTCTTGGCCACTAACAAGCTAACTAAGCTTGGTTAAATCATTTAGCATCTTGGAATGTCACCTGGATTTTTTTAGCTTAAAAAAAATCTTTGACATTTCTTGCTGTCAAATTAAAAGATAACTTTATAATTTACATACATAATTAAATTATATCCTTAAATTTTAGAGGTAGAATTTAACATTAATCTTTCTTTTCTTCAATTAAATCATCTTTTATATAATTTGAGTTTTAAGAAATTCTTTTATGCTCGTATTTAATGTGGGTAATAGTGAAGAAACCATTTTCCTTTTCTAGCATTGTGACTAGCATTTCTTCCAAAAAGGAAAACTAACTAAAAGCCGTGAGCTGTGACTGGGAAGAAAGAGAACAAGGATCCGAAACTGGGTGGGCAGGTAGGGAGTGTGAAGCAACCCTAAGGGCACATACTATAAGCAACATTGCTCTCACGAACCTCAACAGCTCTTGGGGCTAGTGATAAGGTGAAAAGTACACATCAAACTGGACCTTTGCTGAGCCGTGACCAAAAAAAAAAAACAATAGGGAAAATAAAAAATAATTCATAGGCAGGGTCCTGGTTGAGATCCCCAGAACAGGAAAAAGGAGGAGAAGGAGGAAGAGGAAGAGGCAGGAGGAAGAGGGGGACAGAAAGAGGTAGGAGAAAGGAGGAAGGAAGAGGAGGAGGAAAAGGAAGAGATAAAGGATGTGAAGGAGGAAGAGGAGGAAGAGGAAGAACAGGAGGAGGAGGACATATTAGATAACAGCATTGTGTCAATGTTAAATTTCCTGAGTGTGCTAATTATATTGTAGTGCCCTAGTAGAATATCATCCTCAGGAGATACCCTGGGTGTCCTAAGATATTTAAGGATAAAGTGCAATTAGCTTATCCTAAAATGATGTGCAAAATAAGATAGAAAATAGTTTATCGTTATCTCGAAGTTCAACACGCAGGTCCCCAACACTCTCCAATTCCAACAGACACAGAGAAACTCCTGCACAAGTACACCAGTGCACACACATCAACGGCTGTGATAACAAGAACTTGGAAACATTCCAGGTAGCATCGAAAAAGAAAAAATTGCAGTCTACTCATTTGTCTACAGTCACAAACACGGGTGAATTTTAGAAACAATGTTGAATATAGAACATGTCCCAGACAGTATAATACTACTTTTATTTAATTAACAATAAATACATTAAGTGAAATGACTATTTAGGTTTCCATATATAGAGAGATGGGATTACATAAAATATGTGACATGAATTTAAATAAATGACACAATAAGCAAGAAAATGAATCAAATAAGTCATGTAACACATATGCAAAGATAAGTACAATACTGAAGATTAATTACATCTAGGGTAGGAAAGAAGGAACCATACCTGACCTAAGTTTTTGGTAATATTTTAACTAATCCATAGTTATTCAATTATTTTTATATTTCTAAATTACATATAGTTTACATGTCTTATTTTAAGACCCACTTGGGAAAGAAAACATAGTATTTAAAATATGAATATACAAAGAAATAATGTCCTATATATGTGAAGTTCATTGTGTTCTGAGCTTTTAAGAATTGAATAGTAAACAGGAATCCTAACGGACGACTTAGGTAACAAAGAGAGTAACTTCATTTTGAACATTAGATGTTTATACAAGTATAACAACATTTGTATGAAACATTTTTAAAGAAGCCTAAGTGGAAGGGCAAGTGCTAAGCTACAATGTGCTGTGGCTGATACAGTATTATCTACATAATGCTATTATAATATATGTATGGCTTCATTTTAATGTATTTGATTTTTCAAATGAAGTGGTAGAGCACTTTCTTCCCATTTTTGTCAATATTTGCTTTACTGTAGTTCCAATGGACTACATGTTCTGTAAGATTTTTTTATGCCCATCACAGCTAAGTGGTGACCACTTTCTATTTCAGCTACCTAATAATAAGAATGAAAGATTTAAAATTAAGGAGGACATTCACAGCAAATTATAGCAAGTATTTCTCTATTCAGCGTATGATCAAGCTGTAGAATTTAGGTTTGCATTTAAAGATAGTATTGCTTAAAGAAAGATAAACTCGAGGCTTTTATAGGTAAATGGTCACAACTAGAGACCATACTCATAAGTGAAATAAATCAAACATATATGTGCAAGCACCGCATTGTTTCACTAGTGTAAAACCTGAAGGAGTTAATTTAAACTAGGAGATATGATAGACATTGTGAATTGATAGGAAAGCACTCAAAGGTAAAGGGCAACTGGGATGTGGGAAAAGAGAAGTGAAAGAAGGAGAAAGTTTGTATGTATGTAGATGCAGGATAGTTAACATAGCTGTTTTACTGTCTTGTATTTTTTTGCTGAAAGAAACTGTCAATGAGTCCTTCGTTGAGCATTGCATGTCTATATCTGTTTTCTTGAGAAACCACTTTAAAGATATCAATATGTAATACAACAAGCATTGTTAATTCCCTACCACTTTGTTTGTAACTCCATACCGTCTGTACTGTTCTTTTGCTATTTTGTAAAGTGTTGTCTGTCTGTTAAAAAAATAATAATAATATTGCTATTGCTAGCTTAAAAAAAACTAGATGATAATAGTATGAATATTAATCCATTTGTAGCTGGAAATATAATGGTAAGCTGAAATTATGTTTCACTGCATAGGCTGACTAGCTATGAGACACAAAGTTCTCTCATCTACTACACAATAACTAAGGTAGTTTGCACTGGTTATTGTTACCTTTCTTTGAATCATCAATGACTGAGATGAGTTAACACTGCCAGTTACTTAAGCAAAATTTATGTTCCCTGTACATTAAATCCTTTAATGATTTCCTATAGCACTCCAAAATTGCTTTCAGTTACCTGTCATGAGAGAAAACCCTTAATAACACACACTTCTTAGTTATCAGACTATACACAACTACAATTTAAGTAGAAATAAAGACAAATTTTAGCCAATGTCCTAGTACCTAAACCTAAATGCTATTAAAATTTAGGTACATTTAATTGCAGTCTTTAGTTTCTACGTAACAGCAATCATACAATTTTAACCTCTTAGGTTTTTTTTTGTTTGCTTAATGCTATTATACATTATACGTAGTAAACTATGTATGCCAATTTATACTATTTAAGATAAACACATAGTAGTCCAAGCGGCTACATCATAGTTAACTTACTCTTTTGTGGTAGAGCATTTCAAATATTCTATTTTTTAACTATAAATAGCATTATTATTAACATTCTCTGTACTTAAAGCTTCTGCACTTAGAATGGTTTTCCTTAGGATAGAGCTCAGTAAGTGGAATTATTATATGTATGTAATCTTAATTTCATTTCAAATGTTGAATTTGCAGTGTATGCTGATAATGATGTCTGAGTCACCTCTGTATCACTACTTTGCCAATTTTGAGTATGTCCACTTAATAATGCATTTGAAAATTTGATAGAAAGACATAATATTGAGTTGTTTGCCTTTTATTGATAAGCAGTACACCTGAATGAACTTGTTTTATTTATCTCAATATTCTTAATAATTAATGTAGTACAGTGAATAGTAGAAAGGAGTTGTTTAACATATTTCTTGGATGAATGCATGAATGGAAAACTATCATTTAATAAACTGTTATCTATTGCTTGTCATAGTACCAAAAATACTATTTTGCCCAGTTTTCCATTTCCTGTTGACATTCCTGACAAAGAATTTTAAATTTTGTACGTTAAACCTTACATATTATTCATGTCCATTTTGGTTTCTTTAATTACATTTGAAGTTTCGTAAGTAGTTCTTCTACTTTCCAGTAGTTTTTTTCATGGCTTGATTTTCTTAATACTATTTCTCTAAATTAATTCATGCAAATATTATTTCAGTATACCATTTAAATACAAGACTACTTTTCTAAAGTGATGTAGAAAGTCCCATTTGATATATAATTTACCTCTTAAAGTGGCAGTGAAAGTCAAATATGTGAAGGCAGAATTATCAATTTTTTAATTTATGCTTTCTCTTAGTCCAGACATGTAAGAACCTTAACAGCTGTGTAGGTTTGACTCAGTCATAAACTGAGAAGCAGCTGGAAAGTAAGGAATCTCACCAGCTATTCCTTACTCCAAATTGTGGGTTGGTTGGATTGGGAATCCCTTTTTGGCACATATATTTTGTCATCTTCCCCAATCCCGCACCAAAATGGATTTGCTTATAGAGATAAACACAAAAAATGAAAAAAATCTAAACCTATATGATATTATCAGAGACCAATTAATTTAGAAAGTTATCACTATAATGTTATGTATTGCTTGTATAATATTCAAAATGGTTTCAAAACTTAGGAGACAGATGGGTACATTTGTATCAGAATATGGCTTTCAAAATAATCTATTGAATCTACTATCAAAATTTTCCCCAAGTTCTAACAACTATAATATATGCCAAGAATTAACAAAACAGGGAATGTCTATCAGCTTGAAGGCTACATAATCAATGCCGTAGAGACACTTCTGTTAGTGAATAAATGACGAAGTTTAATAAGAAAAGATGCAGAGTCCACAGAAACAATCCACAGAATACATAGCCATATTTTATGTGTTCAAAAAAGATAATATGGGTTGGGTACAAATATAATTATTTGACTAGTATTTTGCAGAAACTTTAGAACTGAGATTTTATTACATTTCTGTACTTTTGAGTTAGTCTTGTTGAAAATGAAGAGCAAAGCAAATGCAGACTATTATCTAAGTATAGTCTGAATAACAATTCCCACTACTTTATTAAATAATGCTTATTCTAAATAATCTTACAGAAAAACTCCTGCAAGTAGTTAAGAACACACTTACAGAAATGTGTCTAAGTATGAATATTTAGAAACTGCATTTGAAACAATTCATGGGAAAAAAGTAGATAAATATGAACTTCCATACAATGACATTAAAAGGAGTAAAATTCACTAGTATAAACTACTGTAGAAAATGTCTATTTTGCTAAGGAATAAAGTATACTATGCAATAGTAAGTGTGAGCACACAATTTCATTTTTTGCTGAACACCCAAGAATATATTTGGTCCACATACACACATAAAGAAAAATAAACTCTGGCAAGTACATACCAAACCTTTAACAATGGTCATTCCTGATGCATCAGAATAAGGTGATGAGAAGACAGACAGATTTTGTATATTTTGATAGTGTTTGAAGATTTTGCTCAATATAGCCTACTCTCACAATTTAAAAATAAGTATGTGTGTATATACATGCTTAGTAAAAGGAAAAAAGCATACCTATGTAAATATGTAACAGTGTACTTTTTTGAGAGGTTGAGAGTATTTCAGCACTATGTGTTTATGCCTTTTATAAATCTAAGGATCACCAATATGACCTCGGTGACCAATTTAACTGGATACTTTTTCACTGAAGAGGCAACAGCACTGCTACCATAAATGCATTTAGTCTCTCAGTGGCAGATGCATATTAGTTTTTGTGCAGTTTCTATTGCAAACATGATCTTCACAAAAACTACACAAACTACACCATCTTTTAAGTGCTCAGAATGATTGGATTAGATACATGGATTGATGTTTCTATTCAATTTCTTCTGTCATCATTTGTGAAGTAAAAAGCACTCCCTAGCAGACTTTCTGTGTTTAATTTTAATTCAGGGAAAACTTTTATGACTGAGTGATAAACCCACAAAACTGGAGTTCATATTTGAAGCCTTCACACTACTAAGTGTAACGATACCAGTGTGCATTCCCGTTTTTAAAAGTGTAAAGAAATCAACGAGCAGATGCCATTACAGAAATGCATTCTGCATTATACACAGCACTCAAGAGATTGATATTTTATGCTTATGAAACTTAACATAAAATTCAATTGCAAATATTTCCTCCCTATCTACCAAAATTACAGCCTGAGGCAATACACTGCTAATATGAAGCATTTGTTCAGGTCTAGTGGACATTTTTTCCTATATGATTTATATGAAAGACTTCATTTACCTCTTCATAGATTCAGTAATGAGATTTCTTCTCTTATATTACACCTGGAGAGTGTAGGAATTTCTATAAAATTTAGAATCTAGTAAACATAACCGTGAATTCTCAAGAAAAAAGAACCAAGTTTAAAAACTTGAGGTATTCTCTCCTTGTGTTTATGAGTATATCATTTCAAACATCTGCCATTATTCCATTATCCAAATATATAAAAAACATCTAAATATACCACATGGAAAACTCATTTGCATTTCTTAGCAGAAAAACCAGAGTGACAATTTCAAGTAAAACATATTGTGATTTTTTTTCCCTAGAATCTAGAAACATTAAATGTAATTTCAACTGTGTCCTCCTAAAAGTTAGGAATAATAGAACTGGCTTAGTTACTAGAATACAAGTAAAAATCCACAGGATATAAGAAAAGATAAAATTAATTTCACTATCATAAATCTCATGTATCATGAACTCACATGTAGCACTTGCTAGCCAGTGAGATCCTTGCTCAGTTACAAGTTTTAGAATACATGCAGAGAAAATAATGTCATTATCTGGGACTTTACAAAAGCATATATGCACTTCTCTTTATGCTGAAATCTATCTAGCTTTAAAAATTATCACCATTAATATGTAATTAAAATAAACAATTCTCACCTTAAGCATTCAGCATCATTTTGAGGTTTTTCACTGATTTTTATTTTTTCTGACTCTAGGTATTTGGTAGTACAAACTGCTTCTTTTTCTTCATCCTTAAGAACTAAAATATAAATTCTGATATTTAAAAAAAATTAAACCTAAAGGTTATTTTTATTCACTCATCTACAAAATACTGTTTGTTGGTGCTCCATATTAAATACATATCATAGGGAATTTGTATCTGTATATATCTTATCCCTTTTTCCCCAGTTCCTGCCCCTCCCTTCAATGCTTCTTCCCCTCATTTACAAAGCTTTGTTTCCACTTTATCCTTCTTTCATTAGTTTTTCTTTGCTCTTTCTTTCTCTCTTCTCCTTCCCTGGTTCCTCTTTCCTTTTGAACATTTCACAGTATCTGTTATACATTTTGGTCCCTATTTACTCTTTCAGTTTCTCACACCAGGGAGACAGTGCAATATTTACATTGTGTGCTATTTATTTCACTTAAGAGTATGGTCTCAAGGTGCATTTACCTAGAAATTTACCTAGAAATGTCTTTAGTTTGTCCTTCTTCATGGCTGAGTAATACTCCATTGTATAAAAAAAACCACATCTTTTTTATTCATTCTTCAGTTGATGGACATTTGGGCACTGTTTCCAAGATTTAGCTATTACAAATTGTGCTGCTATAAACATGGGTGCACATATATTGCTATGGTATGATGTTTTTAATTCTTCTTGGAAGATACCTAGCAGGAGAATAGCTGGGTAAAATGGGACCACCTAGACTCTGCTCTGGTGGCCACAAAAGACAGTCTTTGCCCTAAATACAAAGGACTGGAGGAGTCCCACTGGTCCGCGACCAGTTTAGCGGCCTTGGCCCAGAGACACAACCAGGCAAGCAGTCCTGGTGTGCAGCAGGACAAAGGCACTCCCCCCATCCAATGACCAGTGTGTGAGAGGAGTCATTGGTGTGGAACAGAGGAAGCTGTGCAAGACCCAGAAGGAGCCACTGTACACAGGTTTGGGAGCAATCTCAGGCTTTCCCTACGTGAGGGCACCACAACACCTGGGAGACTGCCTAGAGACAATCACAGTAAGGAGAAGTGGACATCCAGAACACTATCAGCTTAAGGCCAGTCCCAGCCCCCACATCGAGAGGCCAAGCTCAGCCCCAAACCCAGCACAAATCCTACTGCAAACTTCGCAGGATTCCATGGCACTTTCTGGGATGGAACTTGGCCTCTATCACCATGGACACCAGAGGAATTTTATTATTTTTCTTTGTTTGTTTGTTTGACTGGTTTTCCCTTTTCTATCTGGTTGGATTTTTGTTTGTTCTCTTTTTTCAATATTTAGGTTTCTTATCTTTCTTTTTGTTTTCTTCTATCCATCTTCTTTCTCTCTTTCCTCAGCTCTCCCTCTTGATTTTATAATATTTTAACATGAGTAAACATTGTTTCTTCTTTTTCTGGTTTGCTTCAATATTCTTTAGCTTTCTCTTTCATTCTTTCTCTATTGTGTTCTTCTCCAATTTCCCAAAACTTGGGTGATCACCCTTTGTCCTCTGGGCTTCTTCGACTGTATTTGTCCTCATTCAGCTACCTGTTTTGTCCCTTATCTCTTTTAAATCCCCCCCAACAGGGTAAAATCACTCCACTAAAGGGAAACTCATTGCATACAAGTTCCTGGCATATGTTGGATTTTGTTATATAATGGTAGAACTTGCTCTTATGGTTGAAGGTTTCAAATTAATACTTACCACAGTTTGTCAGTAGTTAGACTGTGCTTCATGCTATTGTTATTGCTAATTGTACTGTGTAAACCAGGATGTCATACCTGTTGTGATCGATTTTTCTACTTTAATATCATTATTATAGGAATGAAAAAAGATCTTCACAAAATTTGTGACAAAAGGAAAACCACCTTTAACACTGATTTAATTAGTCTTGTACCTATTTCTTTTTTATATCAATACTGGTACTATATACAAATAGGTAAATACATTTTATAAGATTATTTAATCATTTCATTTGTTAGTAAATGTACCTATTTTTTAGCAAAATAAGCTAAGTCATGAAAGTAATACCTTTAAGTTTTCTTTGGAGAGTAAGTAATTCTTCTGTCAATTCACTCTTTTGTTTTTGAAGTTCATTTAATTGACCGCTGTCCTCTTCCATTGACTTTATTTCTATAAAAAATTACAATAACATCAAAAATTACTAAGAATAATTTAATCAAATAAGTGAAATCTCTATTATAATATAAAATATTGAGGAGAAAAATTGGAGATACAACTAAACAAAGATAATCACATGTTTCTGAATCAGAAAAATTGGTATTAGTAAAATGGCCATACCACCCAAACCAATATATAAGATTTAATGCAGTCACCATCAAAATTTCAATGGCATTCTTCATAGAAACAGAAAATAAGTATCAACTATCCAGCTGATTAATTAGTGCACACAATTCAGCACATGTTAGTATATTACAAATTTCTGCATCTAGTAACTTTAATTTGGGACACTCATCATTCCAAAAAGAAATTCCATTTCTGTTAGCAGTCGGTGCTAGTTTTCTCCAAATCTACCAGCCCTACATAACTACCAATCTACTTTATTTCTTTATGGATTTGGTGATTCTATACATTTATAAAAATGGAATCATACGTTATGTAGCCTTTCATTTCTGGCCTCTTTTACTTAGCATGATTTCAAGGACCATCCATGTTGTAGCACATGTCAGTGTTTTATTATATTTTATGCCTCAATGAAATTCCATTTTATATTTATAGCATATTTTGTACTTGCATTCATCAAATGATATTTTGAGCCATTTACATTTTGTCTGCTATGAATAATGCTACCACGAACATTCAGGTACCAATTCTTATGTGTACTTTTGTCTTCAATTATCTTAAATTGCTAGGAGTGAAATTGCTAAGTCATATAAAAACTCTAGGTTTCTTTATTTTTTTAATTTTATTTTTAGAGATAAAAGATCCAAAACATATTAACAAGCACACAGACATGAAAAAGCAACATAAAAACAATATAAACAATACAGAATTTCAGACAAGATGAAAAAAATTAACAATGGTTGTTGCATTACATACAGCTATCTTCATATTGGCTACTCAGATAAACAAATACAGACATGCAAGAATGATCAAACTATTAAATATCAACTGTACCTTTCAAGAAAACAATAGAAATTAATAGTACAATTATCCTGGCCATCTTGTGTGTGTGTGTATATATATTTTTTTCCCTTTCTTCTTTATTCTCTTCTTTCCCTCATCCCAGTTCTTCCCTTTTGAGCAGTTTCTTTCCTTTCTCACTATCAATTGTGCCTTTTAGATTTCATTTACTCCTTCAGGTTCTTATACTAGGGAAATAATACAATGTTTACATATGTGAGACATTTATTTCACTTATGAGTATGGTCGCTAGCAGCAATCTAGGTTTATTTTTTGTATGTGTGATACTCAGAATTGAGCTCAGAGTCTCTGCACTGAGATACATCCTCAGTCCTTTTTAATTTTTATTTTGAGACAGCTGTTGCCCACGGTGTCCTTGAATTTAACAATCCTCCAGCCCCACCTTCCAGAATGTTAGGATTACAAGCATGACTTCTGAGAAACAAATCATATTCCAAAGCAGTTGTTTTTTTGCATTCCTACATGCAATTCATGGCATTTCCAATCTCTTTGTAATCTCACCACACTATCACTGCCTACCCCTAAGATAGCTACATCACTGTGGTTTTTATTTGCACTTCCCTGATGACAAAGTGTTCAGCATTTTCTTCAAGTAGACATTTGTCTATCTTTTTTGAATAAATGATATTAAAATCCTTAGATCATTTTAAGAGGGCTGTCTTTTTATTGTTATATTGTAAGATTTATATTCTAGATCTAAGTCCCTGATCAGATATATTACTTGAAAATATTGTTTTCTATTTTTGTGGTTGTCTTTACCATCTGGATAGTTCCTTAAACACAAGAGTTCTTAATTTTCTTTTTTTTTTTTTTCTTGGTTTTTCTCCGGTACCGGGAACCGAACTCACGACCTTGCGCTTGCCAGGCAGGCGCTTTTTGCCGCTGAGCTAAATCCCCAGCCCCAGTGTCTCCTCTTTATTACCTTAATGTCTGCTGTAGAGGATCTATAACTATGTCTCCGCATTTGTTTCTGGTACTAATAATTTGTGTTTTCTTTCTTTTTCTTTT